TCTTATTGTTTCTTTTGCTGAGAAAAACTTTTTAGTTTAAGTTTAAAAAGTAATGGAAATGCTTTTTATATTGATCATATTGTTTGCAAACATGTCAAAAACTGATCAAATGACATGCTTATGTACTTTTTCTTGTACTTCAATTTTACTTCAATAAAGCTGTGGGGGGAATGAGTCACAGTGGCAGAGCAGCAAGGGCTGTGTTCGTAGCATAAAGTGGACCATTGTGACAAAGTGAGCAGACTCCACCTTGGAGGGGTGTGTGGGGAAGGGACAGTACCAGTGGTGTTGCTGCTGGATACCATCCAGGGTGTGCCCAAGCAATGGGACCCTGTGGCAGGAAAGAGTAGGAAAAGAGGCTGTGGGTAATAATTTTAAAATGAATTTTCCTCTGGTTCTGGCACAGAGCTCCTTAAACCTTTGGAATTCCCTGAGTGACAGGGGTCTGAGGAGCATCTTTTGTTATTCCTGATGTGTTTATATTAATGCAGCAATTCATGGGTCCCTCTAGACAGCTTCCTAATGGGGGCTGGTCACCAGAAGATTAAGCTTTGACTAAAAGCTTGGAACTTGCCCCTCACTTCCACCCAGACCTTGACTTTGGGGAGGTGAGAGGTAGAAATTGAATTCAGTCACCAATGACCAATAATTTAATCAGTCATGCCTGTATGATGAGACCTTCATGAACACCCCTCAACAATCCGTCGGGGAGCTTCCACCTTCACCTGCCAGGAGGGTGCCGTACCCCAACTCCAGGGAGAGAGAGGCTCCTGGACTCAGCCCCCTTTCAGACTCACTTTAGGTACCCTTCATCTGTCTCTTCATTTGTGTCCTTCATAATAAACCACAGTAGTAAGTAGAGCACTTTCCTGGTTATGTGGGTGGTTCTAGGAGACTATTAAAGTGGAGGGGTGTAGTGCTGGTGGGTGTAGAGGAGACCATGGACTGAAGCAGCTGTGGGGTCCACGGTGACCAGTTCTTCCAATCCCACAGGCAGGATTTCAAGTGGGTCAATTGCACAGAGTAATGGGTTTACTAGATGAACTGAGATGAGCAGGATCACCGCCCGGTGCAGGCACTGAGTGGACGACTTCACCGGGAATGAAGGGCATGACTCCCGCAGAGTCTGGGTTCTTAAGGACTTGGGTCCCTTTCTTCTTGCCTTGGTGTACCCCCATACGTGGATTATTACCCTTTGTCTACCCCTCAGCAAACTTTCTCTGTGAGGGTCATGATGACCTGGTCGCAGGGGGAGGATCAAGAAAAACCTGATCAAAAGAGACAGCTGTGAAGGATCTTGAAACAGAAGTCTCTTAAGGGGTATCACGCCTGTTTTGGTTTGGATGTGAGGTGTCCCCCAAAAGCTCATATGTGAGATAATGCAAGAAGGTTCAGAGGGGAAATGATTGGATTATGAGAGTCTTAACCCAGTCAGTGAATTAATCCCTTGATAGGAATTAACTGAGTGGTAATAGAAGTGGTGGGGTGTGGCTGGAGGAGGTGGGAATTGCGGACATGCTTTGGGGTATATATTAGACCTCTCTCTCTGCTTCCTGATCACCATGGGAGCTGCTTCCCTCTGCCACTCTCTTCTGCCTCCCCCAGAGCCGTGAGGAATAGAGCCGCCTGTCTATGAACTCAGACCTCTGAAACCGAGAGCCCTCTAATGGATTTCTACTCCCCTAAAATTGTTCTGGTCAACTCTTTACGTTGCAGCAGTGAAAAATCTGACTATAACAATGACTGTGGCTGGAGAGGTTTGATATACCATTTACCCCCAGTTTTCTGTGACTTATGGGCTTTCTTTAACATACATGTCTGAGGTCCTTGTAAGTCACTGCCCTTCATTGTCCTCCCCCGACCCACCTGCTCATGCCTGAACTAGCTACCTGTGTTTTTTTTTTAAAGAGAGAGAGACAGAGAGAGAGAGAGAGAGAGAGAGAGAGAGAGAGAGAGAGAGAGAATTTTTTAATATTTATTTTTCAGTTTTCGGCGGACACAACATCTTTGTTGGTATGTGGTGCTGAGGATCGAACCCGGGCCGCACACATGCCAGGCGAGCGTACTACCGCATGAGCCACTTCCCCAGCCCCTATCTACCTGTATTAGTCAGCTCTATGTTGCTGTGGGCAAAATCCCCAACAGGAGGAAAAGTTTATTTTGAGCTCACAGTTTCAGAGGTTTAGTCCGTGGTTGGCCTGCCCCATAGCTTTGGAGCTGGAGATTAGGCAGAACATCATGGTGAAGGGCAGCTACAGAGCAAAGCAGAGTGGGAGGGGGAGAAGGGGCCTTAGGGGAGGTACACCTTTCCAGTGCACGCCCCTAGTGACCCACCTGCTCCAGCCATGCCCTACCTACCTCCAGTTACCACCCAGTTAGTTACTCCATTCAAACTAAGATGGACTGGATTATGGATTAGGTATCTCATAATCTAATCATTTCACCTCCATTATTAACACAGAGGCTTCAGGGGACACTTCATATCTAAACCATAACAAGCTAACACTTACAACTAAATGAGATAGGAGTGTGTGTCATCTGAGAACCTTGTTCCTATAACTGGCATCTGAAGCGGGACAGTCTAGTGGGATTGAGCCCTTAATCCTATGAAGACAGTGTCAAAATGGAATTGAGGACCCAAGTTACAGTCAAAGAAAAAACCTTTAGAGGTGGAGGATGGCCAGAGATCAGACTGTGAAGCAGTCTCGTAGATTCTGAAAAGAAATTCAGATTCTATCATTAGTAATTGTTGTTTTATCATTTGTATTTCCCGAAGTGTCAACTTCATAAGCATCTCTCTACATATGTCAATTCCTTTATCTTCAACATGCACAATGATTCTTCCAGATTAGTATCATTATATCCATTTTACAGTTAAGATAAAACTAAGGCTCGGAGGCCATGGGTAATTCACACCAGGTCAACCTGTCAGAGTGGATGAAGTGAGGTTTCAGTTCTAGACGCTGTGACAGTCTGTGCCTGGCAAGGACAGAATCAGGGTGAGAGTGCTGGGGTCTCCCCCTGGCTGCACACAGATTCTTTGAGTGGCAGCAATGGGAGTGTGCATGGGAGAAGTTTGGAATATTTTCTGGGACGTAGTCAAAAGGCACTTGAGAAGTCAGAACAAACGTGACTCTCGAGACTACAGCAGGGGTTTTATGAAAAAGGGTAACGTTATTAAAATAGTGGGCCTGACTGCATGATTCCTTTTTCATTCCTTTAGAGCACATTCCCCTGTGGCTCCAGATTCCAATGGGTCAACGGGTTTTCTGGTTTGGGAGGAGGGTTAATTGGAAGTCATTTCTTGGCCTGAATGTCAAAATGGAGTTTCTAGTCCCTGCTAGAAAGTTCTTCTTTACTTACAAAGAGCCCAGCCTGTGCCTGGGATCCCAGTAACCTCACAAGCCAGAGGGAGACCTGGGATAGGAAGAAAGCAAGTCTTGAAACAGGAAGAGGAAAACCACGAAGAAGGTAAAGGGGTCAGAACAAGTGTCCTAGCTGTCCCCTCAGGATTGACGCCCCTGAGAGTGGAGGTGGGAGAAGGACAGTAGGAACACTTCTCCAAAGGTTAGGAGGGAATTTAAAAGGTCTTTAGTTCTTACTTTTCCCACCTTTGCTCGGGCAGATTGCAAGACTCTAAGAGAGGGCCTCTGGGCAGCATGGTGCCCACAGTAGGTTGGCCATGGCTGACAGGCTTTCCAACAGGGAAACGGAAAAGCATTTTTTATATAAACTTTTGAACCCTTCCTAAAGTTCAAGGGATTTTCAGACTTATTGCCCAGAAATGTATAGTCAATAGCCAATCTGTACCACAGCAGCTAATAAACCTGCTTCCTGAAAATTCCTCAGGTGTCCATCCAGCCTCATCTGCCCTACATCAACACCTGAAGTCATGCAGCTGGGGAGTCCTGGGCAGCTTTTCAGGGTCCCGACTGGGACGTCCCGAACAGAGCATTCTCTCCACAGGTGAGACTCCAAGGTCTTATTCCATGTGGGGTTTCTTAAATCAGGTTAGAACAAAGAAAACTCTGTTCTAACAACCTGTGTGACCTAGTGATGTCCTCAGGGACACTTCATCCATCCATGCCCCAAGGACTGGCCCCATCTCCAAGGGAGGGAAGGAGGGAGGGAGGGAAGGAGGGAGGGAGTGCCTTGAGATGAGAGTGAGCCAAACCCACCAAGAAGCCAGCCTTGTTTCCACGTTCCACCAGGGAGAGGGGAAGGTCACACAGGCGCCGACTGGGAAGATCTTGAATATTTTCCTTCGCCCCTTATCTGGCCACAGGTTGGAGGGCTTTGGGATCAGTCCTGGGAACTCTAATCCAGCCATTGTCACCCCCACCTCCCAAAGTACCAAAAAACCAAACTCTCTTCTAAGACCAGACTCATGGACCCAAGTGGCCACTTGTCCTATCACGTGGGTGTCTAACAGAAAATGTGTCGAGGATGAGTTGGCCTGAGAATGGGACCAACAGAGAGGACAGCAGACTTGGGAAGCCGAGAGAGGAATGGTAGTGATAGATCTTTCCCTACTCACATCTCTACACGAGAGGATGGAACAGGGAGCCCTTGGTTCCAGCCACAGCTGGATGAGAATCCTTGCAGCACCGTGACCCAACAAAATCTATTTTTTTTTTTTAAAGAGAGACAGAGAGAGAATTTTTTAATATTTATTTTTTTTAGTTATCGGCGGACACAACATCTTTGTTTGTATGTGGTGCTGAGGATCGAACCCGGGCCGCACGCATGCCAGGCGAGTGCGCTACAGCTTGAGCCACATCCCCAGCCCCCAAATCTATTCTTTTTAACTTTTTTCCTCCTGAAAATCCAATCCCTTTCATCATGGTAACCGAAGCCACCACACCGGCTTGCTGCCTTCCTTGACATGACCTTTGCACTGTGCTGTCTGCACAGCATGACTCTTCTCTGCAAGACAAACTTTTTGCTTGATTGTCCCTTGAAATCTCCCAGCAAAAACACCACTGCATGATAATTCAATGAGCTCTTGATCAATAATTGCTGCTCATGCTTTAAAGATGCTGAGTGACAAAAACCAAAATCCACAGTCACTTCATTCATGTGGCTTTAGTAAACTGGGAAACTTGTCCAGGAAGAGAAAAAGACTGTGTCCCTCATGTCAGGAACATCCCGAGAAACGGATGAGACTGATATGGCAATAAATGGCATCATTATTTATCCTCCAGCACCAGCCTAATCTTCTCCTGGGAACCCCTCATTTGCTGTATCCAACAATCCTAGAGGACTGTGCTGTAAGTCCTATCCCATCCTAGTCCTGCCCCTCCCTCCCTCCCTCCCTCCCTCCCTCCCTTCCTTCCTTCCTTCCTTCCTTCCTTCCTTCCTTCCTTCCTTCCTTCCTTCCTCAGGGCCCAGCTGAGACAGCGGATTCTAGATTTTAATCAGTAGAATTTCCTCACAGGGTAGAGCAGCTTACAACGGCTGAAGGAAGGAGGAAAGGAAGGGAGGAAGGAAGAATGGGCATAGGAAAAAGAAGGGAGACACAATGACAACACACTGAAATCATTCTTTGATGTAATCAGAAAGATGGAGAAAAGAACTTTCAGGGCGTCATTTTTCTTACCACAATATGTGGTGTGATGCTCGTTCTGGGAATGACCACTGCAAACCACAGAAGTCTCCTCCCATGAATAGAGACACGGACCTCCAAAGGGGAAGCCCTGTTTTTGAAGAGAGGGATTCTGTGCCCAGAGTTAAAACCAAGAAAGCCTGTGTGCGTGTGTGAATGGGACGGGGGTGGGGGGCTGCCTGCTCTGCATAGCCAGCCCTTTCCTCTGCTTTCCCTAAACGCCTCTCAATAAAATCTACCTCAGAAGCCGTGCAACTGTACCGAGTGTGTGTGAGAATTACAGGCCACCACGCTTACGGAGCCAGATTGAAAGGGAAAAGGCCCTTTAGTAGCGTGGCAGGCAGGCGGCTGGGAGCAGGCTAGCACCTCAAGAACTTTGAGCACCTGAATTTTGGAAGTACAGAGTTTATAAAAGCAAAAATTACAAAACCCACAAGGACGTGGGTCAGAAAAGATTGAGACAGACATTTTGATTACATGAGAGAATTGTTTTGATCATATATTTCAGAGTCATTTTTTTTCTTTAAACATCAAGGCCATCATCAGGGACGTGGGAAGGTGCTTCTGTACTGTCCACATAGATGCACACGCTGTCGGGAGGCCGAGAAGAAAACATTGTCAGCAAGCACAACGTGGAGTCAGGTCAGAACAAAATGGGAGTGACTTTGGTTCTTTTCCATTTCACTACGAGTTCCTTACAGCTGTGAAAACGTGCCAAGTCGAGCTTCAAAGTTGCTATGCGGTAAAAACAAAATCAGACCAACACATGGGTCATAAACGCTTTTTTTTTTCTTTTTCTTTTTTTTCTTTTTTAAGCAATTATTGAATACGATTAGGACCCAGCTCTGCTGGAGCTTTGGGATCCGTTTCCTCCCCTCCTGGAGCCCTTGAGGATGAGCTGTGTTCCACAGAACAAATGCCTTTTCATACAGTAATCCTGTTTCATTTTAGAGTAAAAAAAAAAATAATAATAATTATAAAATGCCACTGTGTCCTTAAAACAGCTGTCGTGAATGAGTTTCACTAGTAGGTGACTTTCTCTAAACCAATGTTGGAAGTTCCAAGTTGGAGAAGTCAAGGGAGCAGCGCCATCTGGGTTAGGGAGCCAAGGTCCTCTGTACTCCAGTAGCCCTGGCGTCCGTCACTGTGTACCTCTGTCATTGCTTGAGAGCACAGCTGCCTAAATCCAGCAGATAGATCCATCCATCAGCAGTTCTGAGTCGGAGCCAACCAGCGTATTAGTGTTCAATGAGAATCTCAGCTCTGACATTTAAAGGTGAATCAGATGACCCCCTGGCGGCCTATTGTTCCCTAGATGATTCTTGGATTATAAAAGTTTCCTCATGTAGGAAACCCAGAGGGAAATACCAAGCAGTCAAGCTTGTACAGAGCATGTTTGAGCATGAAGGTAGCTGATACCAAGCCTCTCTGCCCACCAGGCCTTCAGGGCAGGGTTCAAACGACTTCTCCTGGAAACCCGTAGTGATTCATCTGCTTTAATCAGGTGCCCCACGTCCTACCGAGTAACTGCCATGATTAAAGGAAGTCTGCTTTGCGTAAGCCGGGGGCATCTCTTAATAGTCTTTCAACCCTGGCACTGAACTGAATAAAGAATGTGTCATTATGCTTCCTAGAAGCCAGCGGAGCCAAAAGAGAGAAGACATCTTATCATCATTGTCATTGTTGTTGTCACTAAAAGTCCCTCTTAACTAATCTCAAAGTTTGCTCACATTTCCAAATGTCCCATATTAATGCACCATATATCCATGCCCTTGGCAAACATTTGTTGCTCATATGTGATGACAACATTTATGTGGCCCTCACCATGGAAAGACTGGTAGAGGCTTACAAGCCAGTGGACCATCTGAGCCCAAGATGCACCACTACGCCAAGAAGGTAAAGAGAGACTTCCTGGAAGAGCCACAGTTGGGGCTGAGCAATGAGGGCTGGGTGCATGAGTCAGGCAGGGGTGCCAGGGAACTGGGGTGCAGCCAGAGAGAGGAACACACAGAAAGGATGAGAGCTGGGAAAGGATCTAGAAAGGAAAGATCTGGGGAACAAAAACAAGAACAGCCGATGATCAGCGTGACCTGAGGGACAAACCTGGGTCATGGTAGGAGAAAAGCTTAATCTGAAAGCAGTGGGGAACTATTTAAGGAATCGGAATTAACTTGGTTCCCTAAGTTCTACATAAAGTACGAGCTGGTAGTAAGAGCCAACAGTAAGAGCCATCTCATTGCAATTTAGAGGAAAAGCAAAACTAAAACCACAATGCAGTTCCTCCTCTCAACCACCAGATGGGCAAAAATGGAAAGGAGAAAGCCAAGTGTTGGCAAGGATGTGGGGCCACCAGAACTCTCATACACTGAGGGAGTGTCTACTGCAGCCCTGACTTTAGAAAGTTTTTTTGGTAGTAGCAACTAAAACGGAGCACATGTACTCAGCAGTTCACTCCCTGATCACATCCAGTAAGAATACAGACATACTAAGCTCACCAAGAGGCACACAGGGAAACACAACAGCAGTATTCCTAACCCAAAGCTGGAGATTACTGAAATGCCCATCACAGAAGAAAATTATGTCAACAAATTATGACATATTTACATGATAAAATACTGGATAGTAATCAAAATGAGGAAATTGCAGTAATGAAAATGAATGTCACAAGCCCAATATTGAGCTGAAGAAGCCACAAAAGAATGTGTGGTGTGATTTCGTTTGCATAAAATTCAGAAAGAGGCAAAAATACTGGAAAGGAGACCAAATCTATGAAGAAAGGCTGTGGCTGCACTTGGGGTGTTGTTACTGGAAAGGGCATGAAGGATGCTTCTGCAGTAGTGCATATGTTTTATTCCTTATAAGTTTTATTTTTTAAATTCTATTATTATTATGATGATGATTTGGCTGTTTGGAGGTTGAACCCAGGGCCTCACACATGGCTAGGCAAGTGCTCTATCACTGAGATATGCTCTCAACTCCAGTATTATTTTATTTTTAATTGACAAATATAATTGTATATATTTATGGGATACAGTGTGACGTTTTGATTCATGTATACATTGTGGAATGATCCCCTGGACTAATTAGCATATCCATCATCTCAAATATTTATCATTTATTTGTGATGAGAATATTCAAAATCCTCTCCTTTGGTAATTTTGAAGTATACTTTGCTGTTCCCTATGGTCACTTTCTGCCCATTGGAATGCCAGATCTTATTTCTCCTATCCAACTGCAACTTAGGACCATCAGTCAAACTTTCCCATTTCCCACCACTCTCCACAGCCTCTGATGACCACCATTTTACTCTCAAATTCCATGAACTCAATGTTTTTATATTCCACATATGAGTAAGATCATATGCTATGTGTCTTTCTGTTCCTGGTTTATTTTACTTAACGTATTAGTCAGTTTTTATTACTGTGACCAAAATAGCTGACAAAAACAGCTCAGAGGAGGGAAAGTTTATTGTGGCTTAGTTCCAGAAGTTTAGTCCCTGATTGGCCAGTTCCATTGCTCTGGGCTTAAGGTGAGGCAAAACATCATGGCAGAAGGAATTGGTGGAGGAGTGCTTCTCAGCTCATGGCAGCAGAGAGAGAGAGAGAGAGAGAGAGAAGGAGGAGGAGAGGGAGAGGGAGAGAAACAGAGAGACAGAGAGACAGAGAATGAATAAGGAAAAGGGACCACAGGGCAGATGTCCCCTTTCAGGGCATATTCCCAGTGATCCACCTCCTCCATCCATGCTCCACGTGTACAGTTACCCCCCAGTCAGTCCACCAAAACTAGGATGGACTGATTAGCTAATGGCTTTCATAATCCAATTATTTCACCTCTGAACATTCCTGCATTAACAAAGGAGCTCTTGGGGGACTACTAGTACATATCCAAACCATAATGCATTAAGTCCTCTAAGTTTATCCATGTTGTCACAAATGATCGAATTCCTATAATTTGAAGACTGAACAGTATTTCATTGTGTATATAGTAGAAACTTGTGTATATAGCATATAGTTTTTAAAATTCACCCATCCATTAACCAACACTTTGGTTGATTCCATATCTTGGCTAGTGTGAATAATGTTACAATAACTGTGGAGGGCAGAAAACTCTTTGACTTACTGATTTCAGTTCCTTTGGTGTATACTCTTAAATGAATTACCAGATCACGGGGTAGTTCTATTTTCAGTTTTTCAAGGAAGCTCCATAACGTTTTCCACAATGGTTGTACTAACTTATATTTCCACCAACAATTGTGTAAGAGTTCCTTTTTCCATATCCATGTCAACAGTTGCCATGCTTCATTTTTTTTAATGCTAGCCAAACTAACAAGTGTAAAGTGATATTGTTGTCGTTTTCATTTGCACTTCTCTATTGATTACAGATATTGGGCATTTTTTCATATATCATTGTCCATCTGGATGTCTTCTTTTGAAAAAAAAATCTATTCAAGTCTTTTATCCATTTTTAAAAGGGTAATTTGTTTTCTTGTTATTGTATAGCTTATTTTCCTTCCATGTTTTAGATACTGGTCCCTTATTCAATGTATGATTTGCAAATGTTTTCTCCCAATCTATGGGTTGTCTGTCCACTTAATTGTTTCCTTTGCTGTACAAAGACTTTTTGGTGTAATGCAATCCTGTTTGTCTATTTTTGTTTTTGTTGCCTGTGCAAAACATTTCTTGACCTGGGTGCTTGATACATGGGTTTCCTTATCTAAATAATAACTCATCAAGTTATTATTTGTGCATTTTCCTGCATGTATGTTAAAATAAAATAAAAATCTGTCTTTCCCCCACCCCACCAAAAAGAAAGAAAGAAAGAAAGAATCAAAAACACAGAAGAAGTAAAGAAAACAGAAGTTGTCAACACATGGAATGTGTTGCTAGAGACCAGAGGAGTGTCTTCTGCAGAGAGGGGTGTCAGTACAGAGGTGATCAAAGGAGGCCAGCCAACAGGTGGTGTTTGCAGCTCTTCAAGGTGTTTTTAACATTGGTAAATTTCCACCAACCTGTAAAATATTTCACATAAAAAAATGAAAGCCCCTTACTCCTAGATTCTCCAAAAGATTTTTAAAGTCTATCAATACCACAGGGCACATGGCAATTATTAGAGGAGATGCACATGACTGTCCCTCTCTATGGCAGTCCCTGCCACCTGCTCCACTCACCAATGTCACCTACCCTGTTGGCATCTAAGTTAGTGTGGTGGATCTGCTGATTCAGGAACTCACAGAAGCTTGGCTTCGGACTCCTGTGTATTGTACTCACCAATTTGAGGCAACATCTTTTGGCCCAAGTGGACCATGGAGTGAATGAGATGAACACCCTGCTCACTAAAGGCTCTAAGAAAACATGAGTCTATTCAGGAATGAGCCAGGGATTTGAACACCTGGAGTAGGTGAGCCACAGAGAACCATGGTGGGGGCATAGGTGTACCCATGGAGGCAAAGGCAGCTAGAAGGTTTTAAGGCAGGTGAAAAAAACACAAGCTGTTTTGAAGCAATAATTTGGAGTACGAGGATTAATAACACGAGTAGCATCCGTCCAAGATGAACAGGAAGTTACTGGGCAGATGTCCTCGGAGAAGTGTCCTTTGTGTAAGGCTGTGGTCACCTTGGGCAAGGTTGGGTTCTCACAGAGTCCTTGTAATGGTTTTCATGCCTGTGTGTGGATGACAGCCCTATCATCAAGGCCTCATGACTACCTTGTATTAGGGTTTGATATGAGCGAGTCTGTTTTGATTCTGACGTCTTCCACACCTTGCAACACTCAGCTTGAGGCTTTGGGCGGGGAGGGCCTATCTGTGTGATGCTGTCTCCTAATCTCTGGCAGCAGAGCTCACACAGAATAATCTGACACAAGCCCAAGTTCATTTCAATTGCACTTCCTTTAATTCTACCAGGTACATTTACACAGTTTGGATCCAAAGCAGAAAGCCTGTTGGAAGGTAGAGGAGTCACCCATAGTGGAAGCCAGAGTGAAGTGGCTTAAGAGAGCAGGATTGGAGGCAAACTTCTTGGGCTGCATCCCAGTTCTGTCAAACAGCACACTGTTTGACTTCAGGCAAGGTAATAGATCTCTCTGCATCTGTGTTCTCAGCCACAAAATGAAGACATCATTTTGAGCATTTAGAACAATCCCTGGTTCAATGGTGCACAGGTTTAATAAGTTTTTGTGAATTTTATCAATGAAGTTTTCTTATAGTTTTGCTCAAGACTTTTTTTGGGTGCAAGGAATAAAACATTGACAGCATGAGTTGAAAGGAGGGGGCAATGGGACAGGGTGCAGTCTTAAGTAGAGAGTGCATTAATGAATCCATTGCTGCATACAAACTATCCAAAATTTAGAGATTTAAAACTACCACCACTGATTTGCTCATGATTTTCTGGGTATGCATTTCGGGTTGGGTTCACCGGGCAGCTCTTCTGTGGTCCCTTTCTGGGGTCACTCACATGGCTGCTTGGCTGGGGCTGGGGGGTACCAGGTGGCCTCATGCATGTGACTGGGGGTTGAAGTTGGGTGGCTACCAGCGGGGCCCTCAGCCAGTACCCCATCCAACTCCAGAGGCAGGAGATTGAGGCTTCACACAGCAGCAGGATTCTCAGAACGTTGTGTGAGGGCAGAAGCTGCAAAGCCCTTGAGGTCCATGGACAGAAACTACCCAAGATGACTCTGCCACATTCCACCCATCAAAGCTAGTCACCAAGCTAGCCCAGATTCAAGCAGTGGGAAACAGACACCTCCTCTGGCAGCAGGATGTTATCAGTCAGCCCAGGCTGCCATAACAAAATGCCACTAACTGAGTGGCTTACACCACAGAAATTCATTTCTAACAGTTCTGGAGGCTGGGAAGTCCAAGGTCAAGGTGCCTGCCAGGCTGGTTTCACTCTGAGGCCTCTTCTCTAGCTGTTGGCTGGCTGGCAACTGTCTACGATCTCTTCTTTTGCCTGTGTGGGTAGAAAGAGAACTGTCAGGCATCTCTTCTCATGAGAACCCCAAGCCTCTCAAATTAGGGCCCCTCAAGACCTCATTCAACCTTAACTACTTCTGCAGAGGCTCATCTTCAGATATAGTCACACCGAGGGATAGAGCTTCAATGTGTGCATGAATGAATTATTCAATGTATGCAATGTATGAATTATTCCCTCTGCAAAGAACTTGTGTCCATTTTAATGTGCCACTCGAAGGATGCTCTGGTCACTGGAGGATAGGGAAAACAGTGAGCACCAAGAGGACACAGAGCAGGACACTAGAAATGCAGCCGAGTCGGCCTCTCTCAGCCTTTCTGACTCAGAGCTTGGGCTCTGTTCTCTTCTCTCTCAACTGGGTGTCTCTGTTGCCTGTTGGCAAAGAAAAGTGGAATCATGTCATTTTCAGGAAAATGGATGAAACTTGAGACCATAACTCCAAAGGTCAGTGGTCATATGTTTTCTCTCATGTGTGGAAGTGAGACAGGAAGAAGGGAGAGGAAGGTGGGGGTGACTGCAAGAACAGCAAAGGTAGACCACCAGAAAAGAGGAGGGGAACACGGGGTAGGAGGAAGGGAGGGAGCGGGAGTTGCTGGGGAGGGATATTGAAAAAATTATATTGTTACATTGTGTGCATGGATGAGTGTGTGACAACAAATCCCACCATCACATACAATTATAATGTACTAATAAAAAATGTGGGGGCTGGGGTTGTGGCTCAGTGGTAAGGCGCTCGCCTAGTACAAGCGAGGCCCTGGGTTCAATCCTCAGCATTACATGAAAAAAATAATAATAATAATAAATAAATAAAGGTATTGTGTTCAACTACAACTAAAAATTTTAAAAAATTTATATGTAGAAGTAAAAAGAATTACTTTTGATTTGCAGTTGGTTCAAACTGTGGATGAGAAACCTGTACATATTGAGAACTGCCTAGTATGTGTGTGTGTGTGTGTGTGTGTGTGTGTGTGTGTGTGTGTGTGTGTGATTTCTCTTATGGCTGAATAAAACTCCGCTGTTTGTATGCACCACATTTTCTTTATCCATTCATCTGCTGATGGACACCTAGGTTGGTTTCATAGTTTGGCTGTTGTGAATTGTGCCAGTGCAAACATGGGTATACATATATCACTACAGTGTGATGACTTTAATTCTTCAAGGTAAATATGGATAGCTGGTTCATATGGTGGCTCCATGCCTTGTCTTCTGAGAAAACTCCATATTAATTTCCATAGTGGTTTTACTAATTTACAGTCCCACCAACAGTATGAAAGTTTTCCTTTTTCTTTACATCTTCTCCAGCATCGAAAATACTTTTTAAAACTTGTGTCTGTACTGAACATGTGCAGACTTTTATTCATCGTTATTCCCTAAATAATACAGTAGAACAACTATTTGCATAACATTGTCAATGATTTATTTGGGATTCTACCTTCTCTGCTCCACTTTGAAGGCAGGAAATGTGTCTTTTTCATTGCCAGTAACTATGAGTCTAAATATTTATAGACAAATAAATAAAATGCATATATAAATGAAAGAGTGTCTATTTAACCAATGTTTTTTATGGATTGCCTTTATCATCTAACTGATGTGATCTGGGCAAGGCAGTGCCTCTCTGATCTCATGGAAGCATTTGGCTCAGGAGTACCTCAAACTCCACCTGTGTACACTTGAATGAAGTGAGTGCCCAATATTTGCTTACCCTGAAGCCAAAGAAAATGCTTTGGCTCCATCTTCTGTGCTCTCAAAATTCCACCACTTCCCCAGTCTCTCCAAGGATCCCTGTGATGCAGACGTTATTTTGCTCAGCTCTCCTAGGTTTCTTCTCCTGCTGAACTCAGCCCTCTGCTTGCCTGATTACAACTTTGCTGCTACTTGGCTGGGCAGTACAGCAGACCAGTGATTATACTGAAGACTAGCAGGTAAGAGTAGGGGGGCCCCAGGCATAACATAGAATATCGAACAACCTAAACATGCAATCAGAAACAACTATTCAGATCAGTTCCTGAACCACAGCAAATTACTACTCTCTGAACACCTTAGCCGTCCTTTACTTCCTCATCTGGTCCTGATTGCTGAGGCCAGTGTCTCTGACCCCTCTCTCCTCTCCCAACTCCAAGTTACAAAGATTTCGCCTTCTTACTCCTAACCTGTTGGTATGTTCTGAAGATCAGCTGATGATTCCGGGGTCATTCTCCTCTTCTAGACCCTCTCCAGGGAATGCCATGCATCTCAATTGTAAAGCCCTCAATTGTAAATTGCCTGGGCCAGAGAGTCACCAAACCAGACCTTGCATTGAGCATTAGCTATGCTGACATTGCTTCTTCTCTCTCAGTTCAAGGTCTTAGGCAAGAGCCCCTCCTGGATAATAGACTCTATAAGTGAAGAAGAATTAGAAAATGGATTATTTCCCCAGCCCAGGTAAACCCCAGAGGTGATGGGGAGGTGGGCAGTTCTGCTCCGGTGATTTCTTGAAACAGGCCTTCCACTTGGCTGTCACCACCATGGCCCTTACATCACTGCTCTTTCCCGATGGCATGTATGAGCTTCCTGTGGCTGCTGTAACAAGTTATCAGACATGGTGGCTTAAAATATGACACATTTATTCTCAGAGATGTGGAGGCCAGAAGTCTAAAATTAGTTTCCCTGTGCCCAGAGTGAGATGCTGGAGGCTTTAGAGTAGATTGGCTTCCAGGCTTTGTCCAGCTCCTAGAGCTGCATTCCTCTTTGTAGCTCCTTCCTTCTGGGATTTCAGCTTTTACTTAAGAGACACGAGGAGCCACTGAAGAGTTTTGAGTAGAGTTGTGTTCTGTTCCAATTTATGTTTTAAGAGGACAACGCTGGCTGCCTGTGGAGAATATGATATAGGTGTAAGAGCAAAGGTGAAGACCAGGTAGGAGACGATGGCCATCATCCAGACAAGAGGTGGTTTAGATCCCAGGGACAACAGGGAAAAGGCTGACACATGTGCACCTTCCGGATATATTTGGAAAGGACTCCCTGATGTGGAGTGTGGTGTGTGAGAGAAAACCAAGGACAACGGCAAGGGCTTTGGTCTGACCAACTGGAAGAAGAAAGAAAAAGTCATTAACAGCTGAGATGGGTGGAGCCAGAGAACGGAGCAGGGTACTGTGGAGAGGATGGGTGGGATTAGTCCATTTGAGCTCTTGCGTTAAATTTGAGCTCTGTCTTAAGTAGCCATGTGGCGGTATCAAGAGCTATTTGTGTATTTGAGTTTGGAGTTCAGTAGATGGATCTCAAAAGGAAAGAGAGCTGTGGCAGTCATTGGTAGGTGGATAATAACCCATGCCATGAGATCAGAGGCAAGGCAGAGGGTGAGGGTAGGTGGAGTCAAGGAGTGAGAAAGACCCAGGCCTTCAACATGAAGAGTTCTGAGTGAAAATGGTAAGCAGCCAAAAGGAAACCAAAGAGGAGTGGGCAATAATACAGGACGCAAGGCAGGAGAGCATGGGACCCTGGGAAACAAGTGAAGAATTGTGGAGGAACTAGCTAACCATCAAGATGTTCACTGACAGAAGAAGAGGGGCTTTAGCAACAGGGAGGTCATTATGACTTTGTCAGGAGCTCTCTTGGTACACTGGAGACAAAAGGCAGATGGTATGATCTCAAGAAAGAATGAAAGGGGAGGAATAGGAGTCAGTCAATTTAGCCAACTCTCCTGTGGAATTTTGCTGCAAAGGGGAGTTAAGAAGTGAGATTGCAAATGCAAACATTCAGAAGAGGTGCTTTTTGTGCATGTTTTTCTTTGTTAAATTGACTCTATATTTGTGTGTTGATGATAATGACCTAGCAATGGGGAAAAAATGACCCACTATTATTATAAAATACGAAGGGAAATTTCTAGAAAAATATTCTTGCAGAGGCTAAAGGGGTAGAATCTACTCCCCAAAGTCACTGGATTTAGACATTATCCATTGTGGTAGTTGAAAAGGTAGAGTGTGTGGGTATCAGTGGTAGGAAATGGAAAACCTCTCTGGCTCTCAGTTTTCTTAGTCCTGACTCGGCCTTAAAATGCTCACCTCACATAGATCTTGTAGGGACCAAATAAGTTAATGCAATTAATATAGGTAAGGCCTCAAAACCAGAAACCTCTGACTAATCGTTGTCCCTGAGACTTCAGTTTCCAGATCTGGAAACCTCTCCTTTGAGACAGCCACATCAATTAGATAACTTGCAGAAGTTAGAAAGGTTGAGTTTATCCATAAACAGCTCGTTAAAATTTTAAAACATTTCACTTTTAACAAAATGCTTGCATTTAAAATATCAAATCAAAGGCAATCACAAAATCTGACAAAGTATCATATTTTGTATCTCTAACATCCTGTCTGGATAAGCTAGTTTCAAAACTAAACATTTATTGCCCTAGATTCTGACAAAATTTAAGGTACAGCACCTGCTGTATCAGAACCTTTGAGAAAACATCTCCTACCCTACTTGATCTCCTAGCAATTATCAGCCAGACAATGAGCCAAAGTGTGCAGTCAGCCAGGTTGCATGGGACCTGTGACGTCACTTTGGCTTTCCAGATCTGTGAACTGAGATTCTGCGGTGCTTTATGGGGCTAGATTGACTGGGGGCCTCCACTCTCCTTCTGTGGAATTTGGGTAGATAGTTCAACTTCTCTGAATCTCACAATTTCCTCATCTTCCATTTGCATCATGAGAATCAAATACAATCCAAGGAGAAAACTACGTACCAAGGTCACCTCTAGGCATTTCAAGTTAAGGGGCTGAAGCAGCTGCTACCACCCAGAGGAGGGCAGAATGCACCAGGATCTACCTGCGGAGGGTGTGCAAAACACCTGTGTCCCTCCACTTTTTCAAGCCATTAGTCTGGAAATGGTGGTCTAGACCTTGTCTTGAAGAGAATACCAAGGACACAAATGGACTTTCTTACAAAGATCCAGGGATAATTAGTACTGTCTATGATGTGTTCAGGATGAGCAAGAGGTATCTGTGGCAGGGCGTTTGCAATCCCAGGTTTAAAGCTGTGCAAGTCTGTCAGAAGTGTTTTTCGGTTCCATTTCATTGACTTTTCTTTTGCTTCCACATTTATCTCCATGTAGGACCCTCTTCTTTCCCTAGATAGGCCTTACGTGCTCTTGGATTTTTAGATTTTATTAACTCTGAGGGGAGATGAGTTGGTAGAGAGTGTCGCGAGAGTTTCTTTCTTCACTTGGATTCTGTGGTGACTTTTCTGCAAAGATGGTCCCACGTCCCTCCTCCTATCAGGAAACAGAGTCTGAAATTTCCATCTTACAAATTGGGGCTGGCTTTGCCCCAGTTTGGTTGGGCCTCTAGCATCCAGCTGGTGTGATTGCATCCTGGAACTCCTGAGCCTGGACCCAGGGAAGCCATGTCGATTTGCCTTCACTCAGAGGAAATCCAGCCCACTGTGGAAAGAGGCCCAGGTTATCCACGTGGACGGAGGGAGGCCAGGCGGAGGAGAACCTGGGCTCTGAAGCAGGAATGAGTCTAGTTGACACTGATAGAATAGCGGAGCCTGGTGATCTTAGCCAGCTGATCCAGTCTTTCCAGCTAAGGCACAGAGATCTGGATAAGGCCATCTTGAGCCACCCAGTCCCAGGTGAGCCACCCACCTGAGACACAACGGGACAGAGATGAGCTGTCCCAGTTGGGCTCTTCTCAGATTCCCAGCCCATAAGAATTGTGGACAATAAAATGTATATCGCTCTGTTATGGTTCAGATGTGGTGTCCCCTAAAAGCTCACATGTGAGATAATTCAAGAAGGTTTGGAGGAGAAATGATTGGGTCATAGCCTTCACCTTATCAGTGAATTCATCCCTAAAAGGATTAACTGAGTGGTATCTGAAGTTGTAGGTGTGGCTGGAGGAGGTGGGAATTGGGGGTGTCTGGCTTTGGAGTATATATTTTTGTATGTGGCAAGTGGAGTCTCTGTTTCCTGATCACCACATGAGCTGCTTCCCTCCTCCATGCTCTTCCACCATGATGACCTGCCTCACCTGAGCCTGGAGGAACGGGGCCGGCTGTCCATGGGATGAGACCTCTGAAACTGTGAGCCCCCAAATAAAATTTCCTCTTCTACAATTGTTCTGGTCAGATCCTTTAGTCACAGTGGAAAAAAAAAAACTGAAACATGTTCTAAGCCACTAAATTTTGTTTTGTTATGAAGCAACAGGTAGCTGAAACCATTGCCAGCAGCATTCTTAGTTTGTTTGCTCACAGAGTTTCATAAGTAAAGAACATTTGAATGTTGGAGCTGCAAGTGTCTTATAAGCCATGGAGCCCAAATCCTTCACTTCACTATTGAGAGAACCCAGGCTCACTGGTCCCAATCACTTTGTTGTTGGGTTTTGTTTGGTTTGGTTTGGTCTCTTTTATCATTATGATAATAAATCCCCGGTGTTAAATTCCTTCTGTTGTAAATACTACAATGTTTTTGTTTGCCGATTAGATCTTTCTGGTTTAATGACAGGACAAGTGTCAGAAGACAGTGAGTTGAAACTTCTGATGAAGATTCTGATCAAATAGCTCTGAGATACCAAGGGAATGAGCCATCAGCTACAGTCCTGAGAAGGTACAAAAGGTCAGGACACTAAGAACTATCTTCAAGCCTTCGCCCACACTGAGGGCTGACCTCTCAGGCCCACACATCCCAGGTTCTCATGCCCTCTGGCTTCTGGTTAGGTTTCCTCCTACTGTACCCGCTTCTCCTGCCATGGGAGGCATTGGCAGGGGAAGCGGGTACAGTAGGAGAAAAGGGGTGTACTAAGGCAATTCTCCTCAATCATGGACACGGTGCCAGCATGGGGGTGGCAGGTGGGGGTTCAATCTTGACCACACACCAGCCGGAGTCAGCCCTTCCATCCTTCCTGGGCCCCTCCAGGCCTGGTTTACAGTGGCTGCTTCCCATACCCACAGCCAAGGTTCTTGGCCTGTGTCCCTTCTCAAATGCCAACAGCTTCACCAGGTTCTAGTTACGCTCATGTCTGGGGAGGTCACAGTTCCCCTCTGTTGCTTCCTCTGGGCACATCACCAGCCTTTGTGGGGCTGCATCTCTTGTTGGTCAAACCCAGCCACACCTTTGGGGAATGGCTTCTCTTTAACTGTTTCCTGTGCATAGACTGACCTATACAGAGGGTGCACACGCTGGGGGTTGAGAGACGACCTGTGCAAAGGATCTCCTTGGAGACATCTGTACTGCAAGCCCCATCTCTTCAAGTCAAGACAGAGGAGCTTCCACCAAGCCCCTCTCAAAACTGGACCTCTTCCTGGTGGATAGGGGGACAAAATTGTGACCTGCCCAATTCCTTCATGAAACAGCCACAGGCCCAGAGATAAATGGGAGCGTCGTTGGGAGATGAGGCCAGAGAAGTGGCTGGGAGGGAACCAGCCAGGGATGCAGAGCTCACTGGGACAAGGATGCGGAGTGTGACTTGTGGACCAAATATGAGTAAAAGCAAGAAGCTGGCAGGGGGCATCTCATGGTCCTGTCCAAAGGAGACTTTGGAGAAGCAAAAGGCAACACCAGAGAACATCTGAGGCTATTACCAGTTTCCTAGAAGTTGAGCAGCGGTGAGCTATTCCCTGAGCCAGATGTGATGTGCATCTGCCCTTATCAAGCTGCTGATGACAGAGGCCAATGCTGGGGGGAGAGAGGGCCATCCCTGACGAAACAGGTGAAAAGTACCTACAGGAAGGAGAGACCCTTCTACACCTCTGCCAGCCCCCAAAGCACGACGCCAAGTTAGGTCAGTGCCAGGCGGCCCAGTTAGAACGCACCTGTCACTCTTCTCCATCTCTCGCACCTGTCACTCTTCTCCATCTCCTTCACCTCAGAGGACTCAGATACAGCAGTTGGTGAGTGGGAAGAAGTGTGTGAGGAATAGAGGGAGCCAGTTGCCCCCCTCGGTCCCCCTGCTGCTTTCCCCTGTAGCCAGTGCTTTAGCTGGGAAGGTAGGCAAAGCTACTATTGCTGTTTGGAGATGCTGTGTTAATGCAGGAATGTCTGCAGGTGAAACGATGGGATTTTGAGCTCTGTGACCTAATCACTGCGTCCTAGTTTGAATGGACTGACTGGGTAACTGCAGACCAGTGGGGAGTGGCCAGAGGAGGTGGGTCACAGGGTCGTATCCTGGAGGGACGTGTCTACCTGAAGCCCCTTCTCCTTGCCCTCTCTCTGCTTCCTGGTTGCCCTGAACTGAGTGGTTCTGCTCTGCCATGCCCTTCTGCCATGATGCTCTGTCTCATGTTTGGGTCCAGAAAATTGGAGTCAGGCCACCGTGGACCGAACCTCTGAAACCATGAACCTTAATACACTTTCCTTCCTCTAAGTTGTTCCTGTCAGGTGTTTTGGTCACAGTGATGCAAAGCTGACGAGCACAGCTGATTTTAAGCCATGGTAGAAATCTCGATTATTCTATGGGCTCCAGTTTTCTAGAGTTTGAGGAGTAACTGTGTAATCGTGACCAGGAAGAGCCAGTTTTCAAAAGTCATCGTAATTTTCACTTAAGGACAATCAAAGAACAGCCCATGCACACATATATAAGTGCTGTGGAAAGCCAACAATAAATGGCTCTGCTGGCACTCTCTACAATCTATGCTTGTTGAAAATATTAGGTATAGCCTCAGATGATCCAAGGGTTAATTTGTAAAACTAAACAACATGATAGGATTTGTCCCAAAATCGGTGCAAAAGTATACAGTGGAGACCTGGAGAACTGTGACTATACAGGGCACTATGGACACAGAAAGCAAGGGAAGGTGACCCACAGGAGAACTGTGACCATACAGGGCACTATTCTCCAGGAGTTGGAACTCAAGGAGGTGGGACATGGTGGATGCCCAGGTTGAGATGACACTGAGTTTCTTGTCCACTATTGGTGGGAATGTCAATTAGTATATCCATTGTAGAAAACAGTATGGAGATTCCTCAGAAATCTAAAAATTAGAACTATCATATGATCTAGCAATTCCACTCTTGGGTGTATATCCAAAGAAGAATAAATCATTATGTCAAAAATAATATTTGCAGGCTGGGGATGTAGCTCAGTTGGTAGAGTGCTTTCCTCACATGCATAAGGTGCTGGGTTCAATCCCAGCACCACACACACATACCTAATAATAGAAATGATAATAATAATATTTATATTCCTATGTTTATTGAAGCACTATTCACAATAGCTAAAATATGGACTTTACCCAGATGATGAGGTGTATTTACACAATGACATGTTATTCAAAAGAATGAAATATTGGCACATGAGGCAGCATAGATGGAACTGGCAGTCATTATGTTAGGTGAACAAAGCTGGATGCAGAAAGAGACATACTATATGTTCACACTCATTTGTGGAAACCAGTAAGTTAAGCTATACAAGAATGGAATTGAACAGTGGTCACAGGAGCCTGGAGGGGAAGGGATGGAGAGAAGGAAGTTCAATAAGGGCTGGGCTAGGTGGTACACACCTGTAATCCCAGCGACTCCAGAGTGAGGCAGGGGAATTACAAGTTGAAGGTCAGCCTGGGCAATTTAGCAAGGCCCTGTCTCAAAAATAAAATTTGAAAAGGGGTGGGGATGTAGTTCAATGGTAGAGAGACCCCAGGTTCAATCCCGAGTACAGGAAGAAAAAGAAACAGGAAGAGGAGGAGGAGGAGGAGAAAGGAGAAGACATTGTTCAATAAGAGGCACGGAAAACAGAGTGGAAGAATCATCCCTGGTTCTTCTGTAGTAACTACTGGGCAAAACAACCTATGATATATTTCAAAGCAACTAGAAAAGGAGAGTACAAATTCCCAACACACACACATGACTAATGGTTGATGAGACAGAAATGCTTATCACCTTGATTTGATTATCACACACTATGTACATGTATGGGATTACAATAACGCACCCCAGAAAGATGTACAAATTTAAAAAAATAAAAACGACAAAATGACTAATAAATGGGGAGGGCAAAGAACACACCGAGTTTCTAGAGCTTTCCTGTGTACTCTGAGGCCTTGGTAAAGTCCTTTAATCTCTCTGAGCCTCAGCTCCCTCCTCCATCCTAGGTGATGTTGGAATCACATGGTGTTTGATGTTCTCAGCGTGTGGCTAATGCTGCCCAAAGGGGAGACAAACACACTAAGCACCTACTTAGATTAGGAGATTATTGTCCCTGTGAACCCTGCTAGTCTGGCCCAGTCCCTACTGGGAGAGCTAAGATGATATAAAGTGAACAGTAACTTTACAACAGTCCTGGGTAACTTCCATCCCTGGGTAACTTGGTCTCTTGCCTTAGTGTTCCTGGAACAACAACAACAACAAAAAAAAAAACATAACAAAACAAAACATCAACAAGAAAATGAGCCCTGGGAGGACCTGCCTCCACTCCCAGGGTTCTCTTGGGTATTTGGGTGACATTGACTGCCTGGGTATGGTCTGCTGCCACAACCAACAAAGGAAAACACAATTCTCTCTGAGTGGACAAAGAGAGATTGGAAGGCTTCCTCACCCGTCTTCAACCACAGCCCTGCAGGAGGTCAGTTGCTGTCCCCTGCGCCCTCTCAGGTCCTGCTTTGCTCTGGAAGGTCAGTTTCGGGCTCATTCCACTTTTCTGCCCAGCTCTTCTCGGAATGCTACAGGTCACAGTGCTGCACCTTAGCAGAGGTGTGTTCTCCTCGCTGGTTTGGAAGCTTGATGGACTCTTCTGATTTCGCAATCTGAGTCCTCAGTTCATTCAAGAAGGTGCTGGAGTGTCCAGTCGTGGTCCACCCCGCCCCCCTTGCT